TCGGAGTATGTAATTACACTTGCAGGCACGAAGTTGAGACGACAGTGCCGTCAGGCACGATCGACGAGTGTTTAGTCTGCTCCGATGGAAAACGTGAAATGCTTTTCAGCCCCTGCGGGCATATAGCCTGCTGCAACGCCTGCGCCCCGAGGGTCAAGAAATGTCTGATCTGCAGAGAAAATATTCTGTCCCGAACGAAGGTATCGTTGCGAAACATTTCATATTATCGTTTCCAGCATTCCTATAAAAAAAAAATTCAACAAAATTCCCAAGTATTTTTAATAACAAAAGTCTATTTACTCTCTCCTTTTTATATCTATATACCATAAAATATGGCGTATATTACAGTACCATAAAAAGTACTATTTTGTTTGGAGATCGAGGAATGCGTGGTGTGCTCGGATCGCAAGGCGAGCGTATTGTTTCGGCCATGCGGGCACATGTGCGCCTGTGAAAGTTGCGCAGCGCTGATGAAGAAGTGCGTACAGTGCAGAATGCAGATACAGCACATGGTGTCGATGTCCATCTGCTGCGGAGGTGGCGGCGACGTCACTTACGTTAAAGGCATCAATATTACAGGTATTACTATTATTACTGCTATTATAAATACTGGATAATTTAGAAAAAGTGTTGGAACCGAAAGGAAGTGATTCTCGAAGTAATTCTGAATAAAAAGTTCCTTTGGCAAAATACGATGCGACGCACGGTTTTTGAGTTATTAACGAAAAACGCTTGACCAATGGGAGCGCGCGTTAGGCCGCGCTGACCAATGGCCGAGCGCTACGAGCCGAGCCTCACTCCTGTGGCTGAGCGCCGGCCCTACGCGTGCTNAATTAATAGACTGCAGATTGTTTGCAAATTAATAAATTGCAGATTTTTTGGAAAATAATAAATTGTGGATTTTTTGCAAATTAATAGACTGTAGATTTTTTTCAAATTGAACCTTGTATGCTTTTGGGTCTCCGATTTGCTGAATTACTAAAAGCAATTGTGCGAGTTTTAACGGTAAATCGGTTACATTCCGGAGGATGCGATGGGAGAGCGAGAGACGACGCGATGCATCGCTTCGCGTCGCGTGACAGCGACGTGGACATGTTCGATATCTGAGCACGTCATATCGCGTACACACGCGGCCGAAGATACATACGTCACGCAAGTGTCAGTCACAGAGACTGACTGAGCAACGAGGATGACCATCTCCCTTGTCTAAATCTCACGTTTCTTCCCAATCGAGTCTTAAACCAACTATTCTATACTCCATTTTCTACAAAACGTCGATTTTTAATTACAAAACTTGAGTTATTCCCTCCATGATGTAAAAACATAATGTGCGTTTTTTAATTTGCGCTTGAACAACTAATAACGGACGCTTCCAATCGTCGGCCATTTTGCATTTCTAACCAATCACGCTTCGTATTGAAATAGAGCGAATTTTAAAATCGCAAACATATCAAAAATTAGGTTCTCGAAGTGTAATATATATG